GCCTGACCTTTACCTCGGCCCTTGCCCTTTCACCCACAACAAGCATCATACAGCCCATTCGACACATACCCACACACAGCATTCAATGGCATGGTGACATGTGGCGAGTGAGTAATAGGCAAACATAAAAGGCGAACATAAAAGTGTACACATATGCAAAGATTGATGAGACAGAATAGCATAATTGATGCAAGGGTGGCATTAGGGAGGATGGGGCGGAGGGAGTTGAAGGGGGGAGAGGAGTCGGCAAAGATGGACGGGATTATTGAGGAGAAAAGTGGTAAATCGAGAGAAACAATGGGAAAAGTGAATATTTACGCGCTTGCACGCTCAGCTCCGAGGCATCTGGCAAGGGAAGATGCTCAAGCCGAGGCCATTTTGCGCGACAATCCATCCTCCTGGTTGCACTCAAGGCTGGAAAGACCAACAAAATGGTGTTGCAACACGCGTGACGGTGTTGTCAACGCCGGCGAAATGGGACCGTTGACGCAAAGTGAGCGCACAAAGCGGTGGACAGTTTAGAGAAACGCTTTGATCTCCACCTCTTGGCTGTCGCCAGGACTAACAAGACACGAGGACACCGTGTGCGAGCGTGAACCTGGTAGACTGACTGCCAGGCCTTTCGCCGGTACCATCAGTGGATCTTGTCGGTCTTGTCGGTTGATGCTACCAAAACTGACAAAATCCACAGACGATGCCGACAAAATGTCTGCAAACGTAGCAAGTCCACGCTCCCACGGACAAGGTGCCCCGACGACAGGACTCGGGGCGAAAATGAGACCGACCCAGTTTGCATTGAGCAAAAAGAGCCCATTCTGCAACCCGAAAAATGGTCACACTTTCCTGGTCGTCCCATCTTTTAGGACAGTTTATCCTCAAAACGGCCCCAAAGCCCGCAACAAACGCTCACTTACCTGCCGAGTTGAGAGGTCATTTTGAAGAGCTTGCAATAAAGCCGACTACCGAGACTTGGCATTTGAAGATGTTCCCAAAAGTGTAGCACAACAACCCACTTTCCAGCATTGGGTAGGAGACTGATACAGACAGAAGGCTTAGTACCTACGGTAGCAACAGCAACAACGCTGGTCAGAAGAGTGCATTGAAGGCATCAGGCCGACGAGATCGAAAGGTCACATGTCCGCCTGTGGTAGGGACAAAAGGACACATCTTCACGCCAACAGTTGACCTCTGCTGAAGAAGAAGACTGCCCAGTAGCCTGTCTCGAGGTCCATCGAAGGTCATGACTCAGGACAGTGTCGATACCGCCTCAGTTTATAAAGTCAACTGGGGCTGAAATCCGACCGAACAAATGCATTTTTGCATTGATGACTGGATTTTCTGTCACAATCCCACGAGGAGAGCTCACTTTTCTAAAGTCGAACTCGAGCTGTAGCAGTGCACAATATCCTCCCGACTCGGTATCGCCAAGCCAGACTG